GTACATAATGAATAAGTCTCAAAAAACACGATAGAACCACCTAGAAAACAAACTTTTGAAGGCACGATACACGTTTGTACCCATCACTCCTACATCACTGTGACAATGACGTTCAACATCTGACAGAGTTGTAATTATGGCTTTTTTCACGTTATACAGTCGCGGAAATGTTACTAAATCTAGCCAATTTTTCAATAAGGCCACTTTGTCATTTTGTACATATTTTTTTAAAGCTATTAAAATTTACTAAAATTGTAAATGAAACGCCATGATTAACTAAAGATGCGTTTTACTTAAAATCTTCTTTAGAAATCCATATTATCCGCTGTTACTACCACAACGCTATGACTAAAAACTGTAACATGGAATGTGTATTGAAATCTCAAATGCCATTTCCATTACTAATATATAATGTATCATTATGTTTATAACTGTAAAATAAAAGATTAAGATATATACAATAATTATATCTGTACCGCAAATTGCCGTCTTCAATTCATTATGTTTCGACGTTGTTTTACAACTTTTTGCTGTCATTTGTAATTATTCTAATTATTGAAACATTTGGAATAATGGCTTTGAAAATACGCATGGACAACGTACGTCATAACTTTAGGTGGAGACCGAACGTAAATATAAAAACAATCAGCAAAAAGTTTAAATTAATCTGTAATACATTAAACGATATAATTTTGTTGTTGTGAATGTCGTTGAGTTATGAAGGAAATACTGCTCTTTATTTCTTACCATTGTTTAAAACAATATAAGATATACCAAAAATTATTTTGATTTATTGTCTATTTACAAGGTGTGATTCACATCAACAAATACTTTTTTTTTTATAATTATACTTTATTTCTTAAACATCTACATTATAATTTACAAAATTTGTACATAAATGAATTATTCTTATTTTATTTCTTATTATATTCTTTCCGCTTCTCTCTTAAATTCCTTTCGATTAATGTTAATTCTTCAATTCCATTATATATATTATTTAGATATACCAGATAATAGCCATATTATGATATTGTTTTCTTCTTGTGATCTTTTCATAATGTCGAATTTTATTAATTTATGATCTTTCTCATTTAGATTAATTTTTAATAATTTCAGTCTATGCTTCATCCAATTCCATATCTTTTTATTTTCACCGCACTCTGTTAAGAACTGTATTGCATTTTCTTCTTTATTACATTTTGTACAATTAGCAGTATCAGTCAGTCTCATTTTAAACAGCTTCATTTTCATGGCTATACATTCATTGACTATCATATAGTTTGTGGTTTTCCAGTCAGAAGGAATATTTTTATTTCTTAAATTCTTCCAAATATTATTCCAGTTCAAATTCGGGTTTGCTCCATTATTCTTGGGGTATAATCATTAATTAGTTTTATATATATTGTTTTAGTTGTAATATTTTGTAGATTTCATTGATATTTTTCATTTATAATTACCCATTCATTTTTAATAGATTTCGGAAATTATTATTGGTCCGAAGTTCTAAAAATCCTGTGTTGATTTCCTTTGTTATGATCTGTTTTAGCATATTTTTAAAGAGTAATGCTTTACATTTTTCAGCAGTTGATATTAAATTTAGACCTCCTTGGTTTTCTTTCAATTTTAATTGGTTTCTATTAATTCTTATTCTATAGCCATTCCATATATAATAACCTATTATAGTTTCAATTTTTTGTGAAAATACTTTATGCATTGGTAATACTTGCGCTAAATACCATAATTTTGCTAAGGCAAATTGATTTATATGCCAGATTTTTTGAATTACATTTAGTCGTCTTGATAAATCTGTATTTAATGTCACTATTATGTTAATTATTAATTTATTCCAGTTCTCATTAATCATTTTCTCTGAAAATTTTATATAATCATTCCAAATATTTAATTTTTGGGGTTTCTGGTATGTTGCTTTCTGAATCCTTTTCCCACCTAGCGATAAAAATGTGGATTTATGTTCATTTATTTCTGCTCCTGAACTTTTACAATAAGATTTAATGATTTCTAAGGATTTTCTTTCTTCACTGTTTGATTTAACTATTAAAGTAACATCATCAGCATAAGCAAGTATCTTAATATTTTTAGTTATTATTTTTTGACCTTCTAATTTATTTTCCAATTCTTCAAGTAAAGGATCTAAACCAATAACAAATAGAATCATTGACAAAGGACATCCTGTCTGACGGATCTTTCAATTTTTATATAATCAGATATATTCCCATTTATTTGTAATCGTGAGGTTGCATTTTTATTAAGATTCATTATTACTTGGTTATTTTGTCAGGAATTGATATTTTTTTAGTACATTCAGGAAATAATCATGTGACATCATGTCAAAGGCTTTCTTAAAATCTATGTTTATCAAAGATGCTTTTTCATTATGTTTTGTATTATAGTATGCCACTAAGTTTCAAACAGTTATTAAATTATTAACAATATTCCTTTTGTCCATACAGCATGATTGCCCTGGTTTATAATATTTTGAACAGCCATTTTTATTCTATTCGAAATAATTTTTGAAAATAATTTCATATCACAGTTTAAAAGCGTAATTGGTCTATAATCTTCTGTATATTTTGGATCCTTTTTTTTCGAAATTAATATTATTATTTCTTCATTAAGTTTTTATTTATCTTTTCCGGTTCGTTTAAAAATTCGTTAAATATTTTAACTAAAAAGGGTGTTAAAATGTCTTCATATTTTTGATAAAATTCATACGGAATGCCATCTATTCCAGGTGTCCTATTTATGCTTTTTCATTATGTTTTGTATTATAGTATGCCACTAAGTTTCAAACAGTTATTAAATATTAACAATATTCCTTTTTGTCCATACAGCATGATTGCCCCTGGTTTATAAATTTGAACAGCCATTTTTATTCTATTCGAAATAATTTTTGAAAATAATTTCATATCACAGTTTAAAGCGTATTGGTCTATAATCTTCTGTATATTTTGGATCCTTTTTTTTCGAAATTAATATTATTATTTCTTCATTAAGTTTTTTATTTATCTTTTCCGGTTCGTTTAAAAATTCGTTAAATATTTTAACTAAAAAGGGTGTTAAAATGTCTTCATATTTTGATAAAATTCATACGGAATGCCATCTATTCCAGGTGTCCTATTTTTACTGCTTGTCTTAATCGCTTCCCTCACTTCTTCCTCCAAAATTTCTTTTCTTAGTTGTTCATTAGAAAGAATGCTTATGTTTTTATTATATTTCCTAAGTATGACATCTATTTCCTTATAATCTATCGGTTTTTCTTTGTAGAAATTTTTGTATGATCTTTCCATTTCTACAATTATTTCTTTTGAATTTTTAAACAAATATTTTCGTTATTAAATAACGATTTAATGAATTTGTTTTATCCATTGATTTTTTCCTTTGCAATTTGATATGTAGTAATATACGCTCTTCTTCTGTAATTGTTTGGGTCTTGTTGATCTTATTTTAATTCCTTCGTTACGAATATCATATAATTTCTTATTGTGGCTTTTGTTTCTTTAATTATTTCCTAAAACTAGGTGTAAATTGCATTTTGCTTTAAAGCAAATATTTTCCGTTGCGGGTCAATAACACGTAATCAAAACAACTTGAAATTGCAATTTGAAAATTGTCACAAAAGTGGTTTAAAATTCTAACACGACGGATTATCCTAAACTTTAATGATAATCCCAAACTTTAATTATTAAATCATTTTTCGTAGGCCTATAATATTGTACGATATTTACTTTGAGACCATAATCTCTATCATTATAAAAAGTTTCAGCAAAACAAATTTTTTAACAATTAAAAACATAGAAACGACACGGCTGATCTTGCCAAAATCTAATTTCCACGATCGACTGATGTCTTTCAAACGGTGTTAAATTCTCATAATCGGTTCAAAACTTTAAGAAAAACTTGGACAATTTTTTTTGGAGTTTTCTCGGAAAACTAGTCAAGGGAGCCATCGAATCGTTCCATCAAATGACTTTTAAATTTTGATTTTTGATATGGTTCGGCCGTTTTTGTAAGAAACGTCATCGAAAAGTCAAATTTTGACACACATACGATTCAGAATTACTTTCAGCAAAACATCGAAAAACATAAAATTGGCAAAGTCGGATTTTTGGGAAAAAATAAACGTCTCCTTCAAAAAACAGGTTTGTTCTTTGTTGTAGAATCATTTAGTACTATGTATTTTCGCCATATATATTTTTTTTTGCGATAACTGCTTAATTCTTAATATGATTTTAAGAAGAAAAAAATTAAGTATTAAACCTTAGCTGTGAAATTATTAACATCGGGGTTTTTCATATAATTTTCATGAATCTAAATTGTATTTGAATTGTTCATAGAGTTAAAATTAAAGCTTATAACTATGTCTAGGTGATGCAGTTCTTTACAGTGATCATAGTACAAAAAAAAAATCGTTAAAAAATCTTTATTAAAGATACATTGGACTTTATAATTAGTAGTATAAGTAATTAGATTTTTTAATTTAGTTATGAATTTGATACTATAGGCTGTTTTAGTGTATTTTTATATTTCTGATTCTACATGAGCACCGAATTTCTGATGAAATCTTAATCTTGATACATAAAGCATACAAATATCGTGAAATTTTTAGTAGAGTTGCATTTAATTTATTGTTTATATATCAGGACAAACACGTTAAAGCAATTGATCAATTTTGTGGCAATTGGCACCTGTATTGTGCATGCAAAAGTATTGCAGAATTTGTATTATCTATTTGATCAAAAATTTGTTTGAACAAATAACTGAAATATTGACAGAGCACACCTAAAAATTTAAAAACAATCGAAATAGAAGCTTTCTTTGACTTTGCATTGAAAGATGATTTACCGTTAGTATTGCGATCAGAAATTACAAAATACAAATATTTAAAAAGTCTCTAAACTAATATGTAAAACAACGTATACTTTTATTTGATTTGATCAATAGGTTGTAAACATAAATAACATTTTTTAATTTATTTGCAGTTGCTGTCTTTGAACAACACAAGGAAAGCTGAATTGGAGGTGATATTCTTTAACCGAGTGCCAAAGGTAAGATAATACTTATAATTTATATAAGAATAGATATACACTTATATTTATGGTAATGAATAATATAGATCTCTTTGTTTACGATATAAAATGTCTAAAATGATTCAAATAATTTGGATCGTCTTTAAAATATGCAATTTTTTTTAACTCGATTTCAGTAACTTTGTTTTAATAATTAAGGAAACGAAATTCAGCATTTATATAATTTAATATTATATTACACGATGTAGATCGGCATTTTTATTTTATATAAATGATAACCCAAAAATCACACAACACTTACCTTTCCTGTCTTGTGAATTATCTTACTCCACCTTATCTTTTTAATAGAATTTTTAATCAAGTAATAACGTTTATGTGGAGATATAAATTCCAAATATAAATAATATTATTATTACAAAATTTAAACTTTTTATTTTGAAAATTTTTATTACATTTCTTTCTGTAAATTATAATTTTTTAAAAACACTTTTCTGGCAGTGCGTAATACTAATAAAACTATGTTTTTAATACCTAAACTACCTAAACTTTTATTACCTAAAGCAACTAAAACCAATTGCTGATCAATTAGACTAAAACGATTTTTCCAATTTGAAAATTTGGTGCAAATATTTGCATAATTCTTTACCCAACTAATGAAAAAAGTCTATATATAAAATAGAAACATATGTCACAACCATATATACATATAACAACTGTTATTCAAAGATATGCTAAGAAGTGAATTTTTGTGCAAATAGCAAAATAAAATCAAACAACAAACTTATATAGAAAATAAATTATTAAAGATTTAACGCTACCAGTTCTTGCAACAACAAAATATCCTTGCAAACATTTTAAATTTATTAATACAACGTTTTTAAGAATATCATGAATACCATAAATGAATACCCATGTTTCGGCATTGACATGAAAGACGTAGATACAAGTCTGTTTTTGATATTTAATTACTAAGCAAATGCAATCATTATATTATTGAGTCATGAATAAAACTGCAAAATTTTGAAGATACAGGAATACCCCGTTTAACGCGGGGGATACGTTTCATCAAATTAGAGCGCAATGCAAAACAGCGCTAAACGAGGCTATCGTTACTGGAAATATTGGGGAAGACAGCTAGGAAATTGGTTCGGCATTAAATTTAAAAAGTATGTTATTTTTACTAAAAAACCAAACATTTATTCCTTAAAGCTCAAATTAATACCATTTTGCCTTTTTGTGACAAAAGCATCTATGTTTCACTTTTTTGCGTTGTTCTCTCAAAACTCATCATAAACGGATAGAGCATCTCTAACACCACGCCTTACTTTAGAGATCCTGTCAAAATTCGGATCATTTTCAATGAGTTGATCAATTATTTCAGTTATGGTAGACAAACTCTTTTTTATAAACACCATCGAAAGTTCTTTTTGCTTTTCCGCTGAAACACTGCTGTCAACATTTTTGTTTTCTTCTTGTTCAATTCATTCCTTGAGCTCATCATTAGAAAGTCTGCGCTGCTTCTTGAATTATTTCTTCAACATCTTTCTCATTTATCCCTTCAAAACCTGGGTTGAAATAAGAGCGCTAAATCAAAACAGCGCTAAATGATGCAAGGTTAAACGGGGTATTGCTGTATAATGCTTCCACTAAAGAATACACTAAAGAATACATTGTGGTTAATATGTTATTATTAGTTCCATTTACATTTTATTTAAATAGCCAGAAGACCTACTAACTTAAGTTAAGCACTAACACAGATCATTAACTACAGGGAAATTTCCTCAGTGGAGGAGACCTCTAAACGACATATTTAATGGATCACATAGGCTCATAGAAATTTGTCTATAGTGAATGAATTACAAAAAAACATTTTATTGTGGTTTATTCAAATTTCTTTATTCATTATTTTTAATTTGTAACAGGTGGGTTCGCAAACATTTATGGAACTCCTGCGTCGTCTGAGCATCCGTAATAGTTTCACTTTCCACAAAGACCGAGTGCAGCGCGTGGAAACTATTCGACTGGCAACTCCTGATCAGCAGGAACTCGCAGCTATTGTTGCAGGACTAGAAGCTCCTTCTGTTTATGTGAAACATGTCTGCTTCACAAACTTCACTAGGTAAATTATATGCCGCATCCATGCAGGGCCGTGCCTGGTCAGCGTGCAGTGCGTGCACCGCCTTTTGAGGCGGCCGTGGGGCTGCCAAATCAAAAAAAGAACAAATTCAAAAGCGGCAATAACAATTATCATAAACGGATAGAGCATCTCTAACACCACGCCTTACTTCAGAGATCCTGTCAAAATTCGGATCATTTTCAATGAATTGATCAATTATTTCAGTTATGGTAGACAAACTCTTTTTTATAAACACCATCGAAAGTTCTTTTTGCTTTTCCGCTGAAACACTGCTGTCAACATTTTTGTTTTCTTCTTGTTCAATTCATTCCTTGAGCTCATCATTAGAAAGTCTGCGCTGCTTCTTGAATTATTTCTTCAACATCTTTCTCATTTATCCCTTCAAAACCTGGGTTGAAATAAGAGCGCTAAATCAAAACAGCGCTAAATGATGCAAGGTTAAACGGGGTATTGCTGTATAATGCTTCCACTAAAGAATACACTAAAGAATACATTGTGGTTAATATGTTATTATTAGTTCCATTTACATTTTATTTAAATAGCCAGAAGACCTACTAACTTAAGTTAAGCACTAACACAGATCATTAACTACAGGGAAATTTCCTCAGTGGAGGAGACCTCTAAACGACATATTTAATGGATCACATAGGCTCATAGAAATTTGTCTATAGTGAATGAATTACAAAAAAACATTTTATTGTGGTTTATTCAAATTTCTTTATTCATTATTTTTAATTTGTAACAGGTGGGTTCGCAAACATTTATGGAACTCCTGCGTCGTCTGAGCATCCGTAATAGTTTCACTTTCCACAAAGACCGAGTGCAGCGCGTGGAAACTATTCGACTGGCAACTCCTGATCAGCAGGAACTCGCAGCTATTGTTGCAGGACTAGAAGCTCCTTCTGTTTATGTGAAACATGTCTGCTTCACAAACTTCACTAGGTAAATTATATGCCGCATCCATGCAGGGCCGTGCCTGGTCAGCGTGCAGTGCGTGCACCGCCTTTTGAGGCGGCCGTGGGGCTGCCAAATCAAAAAAAGAACAAATTCAAAAGCGGCAATAACAAAAAGTAGTCGTAATAAATAGCTCTCGCATTAAAATTCCACTGAATTAAAAGGCGGCCAAATTAAAAGACTGCTGGACTAAGAGGCGGCCAAATTCAAAGTCCGCTGAACTCATTCGCTGCCGTAAAGTCCGCTGTATTTATCTAAAAGCCAAAGTACCGTAGTAAAAATCAGCCAAAGCCGGCCGCATTGAATGCGGCTCTGTTTCCCAATAATTTATAAGTGTATAAACTTGGTGTAAGTGGCAACTTTGCCTTAAAGCAAGTTGCATGAACTATCCAACATGTGTAAATAATCGACTTATCAATAAAAAATATATTAATTCATGAGTACATTCAATGTGAAAAATTATCGCAGATTATTCAATTTTGTACAAATTTTCTAAAAATGTTAATTATTTTTTATAAATTACATATTATTGAACAAGAAATAAACTGTAGTAAATTAAAAACAAGATCCAAATTTCCAAAGCAATTTGTTAATCAATAACTGAGAAACGACTCGTCGATTATTGACAAAATTTATTCAGCACTATTCTCAAATAGAAAACTTTTTTATTGGTTTTTGAATTTTCAAAATCGATTCACAAATGCACGCTATAACGTGAACAAAAAATTTAAAACTTTTTTGAAAATTCTAAAGAATCGGCTCGGCCGATTGTGAGGCAAAACTAGCCAGCACGAGTGCTTATCGAATTTGCGAATTTCAACGATTTTTCGGATAGGATTTTGCATTTTTAAGAAAACGTCGACTAAAGATGTAATTTTGACTCACGTAAAAAAGTGCTGCTAATTTTTTTGAAAATTTTTATATTTTTCTGTTGATTAGAAACAGCTTGGCCGATCGTCGCACAAAACTAAAAGACGCTAGTCATTATCTAGTTACATCAAATGACTTTTAAACTTTTGAATTGGATTTAACCGTTTTTGAGAAAACGTTGGCGAAAAGGCAAAAATCGGCTCATATACAAAGTATATTTTTTAAAGTTTGGTCTCAAACGATTCAGAATGACTTGAAATGCCGAGAAAACATGAAAATTACAAGTCGAATTTTTTCGTGAGAACATATTGGATATTTTCCTATTATGCTATTTTTTAAGGGCGGCCATTTATATGCTCGCACGCAGGCGGCCACATACCCAGGTACGGCCCTGCATCCATGTTGCAATCGAACACGTTACATTTACTGCAATTCAATTTTAATATCTTAAACTAGATAGTGAGAAATAAACAAAACAATATCGCAGAAAGGAAACAACAAAATATAGCGTACAAATACAAAAAAGTAAGGCTTATTACGAGTAAAAGGTATGTAGGGTGTATGTTATACGTAGATAATAAGTTAATAAGCAGATAATAATCTAGCGGTAACAGATTATTTGTAAGGATAGAAATTGATGGTATAGGTATCTCACGGTATGATAAAGAATAGTTGTATTATCTGATATATAATATCAGTATTACCTATCATATCATAAGATTGTCTTGTAAGATTGTAATAAATGTTGAGTACTTTTATATCATAAACTTCTGAAATCGGTGCAGCCTATTAAACAAATGTCCAGAAATCATAAAATTAGCAAGCTATATTTTCTGGCAAAAACAAACCTCTTCTTCGAACAGTTAGAAAAAAGAAGTTGAATTGATTGAGTGTAAAAAAATCAGTAATGAAATTAATTTGAATTTCAATTTTTATAGCATGTTTCACACTTATAAGAAGTTTTGATCACAATTTAATAGTTATTTCTAAAAGCTTAATATTCAAACTTTTTATCCATAAAAGGTTGGAAAACACTGATATAACCTAAAAATAATTATCTCAAATCTACAAAATGCAAGCAAGATAATTTCTCTACGAAACGTATCTAGAAGAGTTGTTACTAAGGCGTTACGAAGATGCGAAAACATTTACACTTTCATTGTTAGATATAAATTTATATTATGCCTTTAAGTCGAATTTAGTCAAATATACTAGTTTACAAAGCCAATGAATTATTTTATTTTAGATGGGGCTTGCCACAACCTATTTACGTAAACATTGTACGAGATCCAGTAGAAAGAGTTATATCATGGTATTACTATGTTCGTGCTCCATGGTATTATGTTGAAAGAAAACAAGCATTTCCTGATTTACCACTACCAGACCCAGCCTGGTTAAAAAAGGTACTAATCGATTTTTAGTTTTTTACTTATTTGTAGATACATTTTAAAACTCTATCTAAAACTATGACAAACTATTTGGCTATGTTTCTAATGTAAAAATTAGGTGAATTTACTGCGTGAAGTAAGAAATCAAAATTTCGTTGATTTAGAAGAGGAATAGAGAATAGAGTGTAACAACTGTTTTTACAAACAAAATGCGAAAGATAACAAATCGTTTTTTGATGAGTTTTTACAATATTAATTGCAGACAAAGTATACTATTGCTGCTTCGATATATTAACAAACTAAAGATTTCAGAGCTTTTGCGGCCTTAGTTTTATTTTGATTGATTTAGTAGTTTATTCGGAATATTACAACTGAACAAACTCTTGTCACCTTTAAACGAAGACATATTACAAAACTGTCGGTTAATGAAAGTTGAACTTTGCTACCAATTTAAGGCTCTAAAAATATGCTTCTAAGGTCCCTGAAACAAAATTTTGTGGCACTGGCCCGTATAAAAATTTATTTGGGCGTCTCTGATTTAAAGATAAAACTAGCTGTAAGTGGAATTCTGTCTTAAGGCAATTAAGGCATCGTGCCTTAAGGCAAATTGCTGGAACTTCCCGTACAAAATATTATTATTTTTTTAAAAACGATTAACATTCTTGAAAAAATTTTACTTCGAATAAATAAGATTTTTGAAAAACTATAAATTGGACAAAAAATTACTTTTTTTGAAAAAAAAAATTTTTAAAAAAAAATTTTTCTTTTAATTTTTTTTTTTTTTTTGAAAAAAAATGTTTTCTTTATTTTGACATATTTTGAAAGATCTGAACTTTTTTTCAAAGCAATCGTACGGCTTTAACTGCATATGGAGACAAAATATAAAGCGCGTAAGCGCCGCGTCGCCGTCTAACGGATAAACATTGGTACGGAACCCATAGGAATGTAAACAAAATTCATACTTATTGTTAAAATCTCTATAAAATATCTGATAATTTAATGTGCATATGTCTAATGTTTATTTTTGACCGCCAAATGGCTAATTTTTTTACTTTTTCCCCCATATCTCCAAAGTCGTTGGACCTGCCTTTCCAAAAATTTGAACTGTTTTTTATTTAGTCAATACAAATAAAATGTTTTTTGAATTATTCAAATCGGACGCTCCGTTCTCTTAAAAACTGAGTTACCGTTTTTGGCACTTTTTGCCCCGTAGCTCCGGAACGGCTAGACCTGCCTTCTCCAAAAACTAATCAGCACGTCTCCTTATCAATACGGATCGAATGTTTTTTAAATTATTCAAATTGCTTCATCCGTGTTCCCGAAATCGTCGACGAAAATGTGTATCCGCACACACATACATACTACGCACACACACACACACACACACACGCATACATCCATTATTTCTAAGGTATGCCAAAATGTTCAGAAACCTCTAAAACGTAAAGATCTATAAAAATTTTCATTTTCGATTTTTTTGCGATTACTATAACTTACCCTACGGGAAGTTAATTACCCTACGGGAAGTTAACTAGTGATGCATGGCATCGTGTCTTAAGGCAAATTGCTGGAACTTCCCGTACCAAAAACTAAATTATTAAAAAAAACTTTGAAAATCTTAAATTATCAAATCTTAGAAAAAAAATTGATTTTTCAGAAATTTTGAAATTTTTGAAAAAATTTGACTCTTGAAAAATTTGATTTTTTTTGTATTTTGATTTATTTTGAATATTTTGTGAAATTTTTTTAGCAATCGCACTGCATAGCTGATTTGGAGTCGAAATATCAAAGCGCGTGAGCGCCGCGTATTTGTCTAACGTGTATACATTGGTACGAGAGCCCATATAAACGTACACATTTGTACTTATTATTATGATCTTTATAAAATATTTGATAATACGATGTACATATGTCTAATGTTCAGTTTTGACCGCCAAATGGCATTATTTTTCACTTTTTTATATAGGATCTCTGGAGGCGCTGGAACTGCCTTTACAAAAATTTCACCACTTGTTCATTTCGTCAATACAAGTACAATGTTTTTCGAATTGTTTATGTCGGACCCTCCGTTATCTCAAAAACTAAAATACCATTTTTGCCACTTTTTGCCCCGTATCTCCAAAATGGCTGGACCTGCTTTTGCTAAAAACTCATCCGCACGTCTCCTTATCAGTAGGAATCGAATGTTTTTTTAATTAATCAAATCGGTTAATCCGTGTTCGCGAAATTGTCGACGAAATTTTGTATCCGCACAAACAAACATATATCTATTTTTTCTAAGGTATGCCAAAATGTTCAGAACCCTCTGAAACGTAAAGATATATGAAAATTATTATTTTCGATTTTTTTGCGATTACTATAACTTACGCATAAGAAATGACCACTTTCGTGTATCCGCATACTTTTTCACCGTACGAATTTTAAATGTATAAATTTGATAGAAATCGATTGAATATTCAATAACTGAATCTGCATAATAAGTTACAATAATTTTTGTAACAATGATAAAAAAAACATATGTAAAGAATGAATAGTCATTATTTTATAATAACTAATTATATGCAAATAAATAGCATAAATGTAGAATTTTTAACAATACAATGTCATTGTAGGATTTTGAGACTTGCGTGTTACACGAAGATAGAGAATGCCGCTACGTCGAAGGTGAAACTCACGAAGGAATTGGTGATCATAGGCGACAATCTTTGTTCTTTTGCGGACACGACGACGCGTGCACGTAAGTAGAATTCATAATAATGAAAAGGATTCCAATAAAGTAATAAAATGTTTGTATAAGAAGGTCAAGCATTGTGATGAAAATATCATTTCTGTTTTTGTTCTTCTGACAAGTGAGGATTCCCGGCTGCAGTCACACTCTCACTATCTTTGATTTGTTATCTTTTGATAAATATCTAATATAAATAAATTTTCCCACGACGCTGTTGGTAATATTATATAGTTCACTGCTAAAACGTCAAGTATATATGTATATAGAGAATATGCATATTTTATAATTAACTTCCCGGTTTACGCCAGAAAATCTATCTATCTATCTTTGAGCAAAGTTTAAAGTCATTCTGAATCGATTCAGACCAAAATTGGAAAAGGCATCCAATCCGATCGATTTCAATAACTTAAAATTCGTTTTATATAACTTATTTAGAACTATCGTTTTACGGGACAATCATTAAACTGTTTCTTTTATTAGCAGAAAAGTCTAAAAAATGTTCATATTTTAGCCGAATAACCTAAATTGATTTTAGCAATACAAAAGTCGTTCAAAACATTCATTGAGAACCGTGCTAGTCAGATTTTGGTAAAGATCGGCTCGGCCGTGTCTTCGTAATTGATTGATTTTTTATGATTTTGATAAAAATTATGATGACCACTCTATGACAAACACTTCTGTGTTGTGTGTCAAAATTTGACTTTCCTTGTTTTTATTTTTAAGAACCGCTAGACTAATTTAAAAATTTAATGCGTTGATTTGGCCGAACGGTTTGTTTACAAATAACAAAAAAGTGTTGTCTTTTGTGTCCACTATTTAGCCAAAAATCCTGAACCGATTTTGAAAATTTAATAAGTGTTCGAAAGACTTGTTAAAAATCATCGTGCTGATTAGTTTTCGTTAAAATTCAGCCAAATCGTTTCTTTGTAATTAGTACAGGGTCCGCCATCTAACTTTTTTTTTAATTTGTTCTGAGAATATATAGTTTTTCTTGTTGTTTTGCTTAGTTTTTTTTTTAATTATTTTGTATTGATAACCGGAAGCATTTTACTTTCAAATGAAAAAGAAATTTGAGAGAATTTTTAATAGTTTTTTGATAGCATTTTCAAAAAAAAAGTTATTTGGCGGACTTTTTAGTTAATTTTTATTTTGATCTAACTAAACATCAACATTATGAGTTTACGAAAAGTGTTTTAATTATAAAAATTTTTCAAAATTTTGAATAATAAACCGTTAAAATTTTAAAATTGTTTTGCCACAATGATGTTGCTACATTTGAATTTTTATT